CCCCCCCCCCCCCAGCCTGCTGATTGGTTAATGAAGAAGCAGCGGCACACTCATGAGTCACCAATGTGCTCACTCTACTCTCTCCTCAGGTCAGCATGCTCTGCGTCATCACATGTGTACGGCAGATGAGGCTAATTGGCTCCTTGGTGTGAGCCGGTCCTCACTCTTCAATTGTGATGCTGTGCAGGGGAATATAGGAGGTTTTGATAACATCAAACTCAAATACTTAAACTTGCAACAATTAAAAAAAAATAAAAAATGAATGATTATATAACTTCCTTAACTGGTGTTTTTTGTTTTATATATATGAACATAGCGTTCAGCTTTAAAATCCTACTGAAGGATGCTCCAGGCAACATATGACTTGCATCTTGCAGCCTGAAATGATTCCTGTACATTGCAGGCAGCTAAACAAATAATTGTGCCAAAGAGCAGATAGGAAACATTCGTGGAATACTTTGTTAACGTGAAGGACCACAATGATCTGAGTTTTCATAGAAAATAAGGATATTGACATCCATGTGCTCTAAAAGATAAATAGCAAGGTGGAAACTGGAGCCATGCAGCGACTAGGCTAGGACCCCTGAACCATCTTAAACAAACATTTTCATTTTTTCACAGTAACGTTACTGTAAGGGCCTGTGTCAATGGGCATTGGGCTTGTGCCGATGGCATCAGGTAGACATTAGTTTGGGATGCTCAGAATTCATTGACATTGGCATTTGGCTTGCATTTGACTTCCTTCTCACCTGAATTTGACTTGCTTCAAGCAGGTTTTGCATTTCTATAGACTGGTAAAAGAATGCAAAACTCACCTGATGCAAACAAAAGCAGGTCGACACACGCCATCAACATTACAATCTGACAGAGTCTTCTTAAAGTGACATTAAACTCAGAAGTTACATCTTAACAATCCATTTAATGTATCTTATTTGTGTATCACTCGGCTGTAGATCCTCCAATCATCTCTGAATTGGTGCCGACACTGTCCTTCCTTCTGGAGGGGGGCTACTTTGTTCCCCATGGTCCCTGTGTGTGTTGTAAAGTAGTCACCGCTCCAAGCTCACCCCCGGGATGGACTACAATCTCATGTTTAGTTTACTCATTTGTATTGCGATTGTAGTCCATCCCGAGAGTGAGCTTGGGGCGGTGACTACTTTACAACACACACAGGGACCATGGGGAACAAAAGTAGCCCCCCTCCAGAAGGAAGGACAGTGTCGGCACCAATTCAGAGATGATTGGAGGATCTATAGCCGAGTGATACACAAATAAGGTCCAGTATTGTTAATAGTTAAGGTTCTTGAATGCATTTTTAAGATTTAACTCCTGAGTTTAGTGTCACTTTAAGATTTAACAACAACTATGTAGGTCCTACCCAATTGGATATAAATTGAATGGATTGTATGAGCAGGCCCTCACAGTACAAAGTTGGTGATAAATCTAATAGAGGTGTACAGCGATTGTGGAACTTGAATGGCCAGCTTAAGTTGTAGGTGTAGCAGTCCTTGTATGTCTCCTACACTCACCTGGCTATCACCTCTTCTCTAGCAGCCTCCTCTTGAAGTAGCCTTATGTGCATCACCTCCTGATAATTCCTCTCTGTAAGCGTCTGCCTCTCTGTGGTTCTCCCGCCGTAACTCGGATTCATGGAGGGTGGTTTGTACGTATCAAATAGTTTTTCTTCCTCCTGTGTTCTCTCCTTGCATGGAAAACACAACTGCTTGCCTGGGTTCCAGCGTTCAGAAGACATTAGCGGGCTGCCATCTTGGTGTGGGGTTCCTTCGCAATGATTGAAGATTTCTTCCTGAACTCCTACCTTCACAAAGATCCTCTGCAGCAAGACTGGGCGGATTCCGAAGTCTAAAGTCAACCATTTCTCAAAGACTCCAAATACAGAGCATTCCCCGCACACTCTGATTTTGTAGCAATGTGTCCGGGAGGCCTTAATTTGAAAATGGCTGCCAGGGGCATAATCGCAGGAATCTGGCAAACCCTGAGCTGTTAATGAGAAGGTTGCTCCTGGATCTATCTTCAGCAAAGCCACATGTAGGAGAGGCATCTACAGGAAGGCAACAGTTAATGTTACAATAGCTTACAATTCTTCACTACAGATAGTCAAACCCTACATAAGAAAAGAAAAATAAATATACCATTGGGTAAAGCCATGACAATATTGTTCAAAACCATTTATATAACAATTTACTAGTAAAAGGTGACATCATTGGGATTTCAGCCCATCCATTCACTAGAGAGCGGTGACATCACTGAGAATGCAGCCTATCCATTCACTAGAGAGGGGTGACATCACTGAGAATTCAGCCTATCCATTCACTAGAGAGCGGTGACATCACTGAGAATGCAGCCTATCCCTTCACTAGAGAGCGGTGACATCACTGAGAATGCAGCCTATCCATTCACTAGAGACCGGTGACATCACTGAGAATGCAGCCTATCCATTCACTAGAGAGCGGTGACATCACTGAAAATGCAGCTTATCCATTCACTAGAGAGTGGTGACATCACTGAGAATGCAGCCTATCCCTTCACTAGAGACTGGTGACATCACTGAGAATGCAGCCTATCCATTCACTAGAGACCGGTGACATCACTGAGAATGCAGCCTATCATTCACTAGAGACCGGTGATATCACTGAGAATGCAGCCTATCATTCACTAGAGACCGGTGACATCACTGAGAATGCAGCCTATCCATTCACTAAAAACTGATGACATCATTATGAATGCAAACGAATTGGTTACTAAAGGCAATACAAAAATTTTCACTGCACTAGCTTTTAAAAAAATAAAATCAGTCTTTGCATTCCTTACCTTGGAATGAACAGTAAAATTCCAATCTTTTTTCACTGGCTTTTGCTCGGACTTAATCTCCAAAGGACTATCACATATGACTTTAATACCTTCAATGACTTCACCTTCTTCTGAAAGCTGTGGGGGTAAAAAAAATGGTATTCTTAAATATTCAGAAATCATAAGCATAATCGTAAATCTGAGTTTCGGGTAATTTACTGCAGCCAGGTTCAGTGAGCTAACACGGACATTTTTCAGCACACTTACCACAAAGACAAAAAATACATTTTACTTTCTAACAATTTGCAATAAAAAGAGAAGTGCCAAGGCCCCTCTGTGTTGTGTGGTCACAATCCTAATCTCCAAAAAAGCCTTTATTTGAAGCATGTATAGCAATTGAGGGCAGACGTGTTTGTTCTGCGCAAGACCCTTCCATGTGCATGTCCTTCTATTTCTAGATGGGTCTGCGGCCTCCTAAAACAGAAGTTACCAGCTGTGTACATGTTTGGTTTTTGCCCTAATGTGCAATTATGGTCAGTTCAGCATACTTGCACATTAGGAGAACTATGGGGTCAGTGTTTTTCCACATAGTTCTCCTTAGGGTAACGGGAGGACACAAACTAGCGTCCTCCCGTTACCCCAAGCTCAGTATACCGCGAGCTAAAGCACGCGGTATACTGAGACGCAGCAGCCGGAGCGGATCCCGACATAGATGACGGGATCCGCCCAGCTGCGTGAGTGACAGCTGGCTCTGCCTATCTAGAGGCAGAGCCAGCTGTACCCGCCCCCTCCCCCGTCCGTTCCGCCAGTCAGCGCTGGCGGATCGGAGCGGGGAGGGTGGAATCCATCCCCTCCCCTGTCACGGCAGAGAGCCGTGACAGGATCGAGAGGTGAGCGAACCTGGTATGTGTTCGCTCACCTCCCGATCTACTGAGCCGACCTGTGACAGTCTCATTGTCACAGGTCGGCTAGAACTATGAGGTGAGTGGAAATCACCCATCTCATAGTTTTCCTTTAAAAGTATACCCTTCTCCAGTGCTGTTGGATTGATCGTCGCTTCCCCGCTTTGTCCCCTGCTGCTGCCATCTCCACCGCCAACACGTCTGGGTTCCCAGAAGCCCTCTTTGGCTTTTGGGTGGCCACTGATGATGTAACTCCTGATGTGCACAGGAGTTACATCCTCCCTGGCACCCAGGCCAAAGGGCAGAGTACACTGCATGCAGCGTACACAAAAAATAAAAAATTTGCTGGGGGAGAAAGGAAGAATTATTTTGCAGAAGACTTTGAATGTCTCTTCTGGCCACAATCTTTACTTCCCAGCGATTTTTCATTTGACTGACTTTACATCCACTTTAATATGAGTTTGTGCCGTGTAGCTTTCTTCTCTCTGAAAAGCAAAATTGGGTGGTAATGAGAATACCCACCCTGCACATACTTGCATTGAGCCGGACTGGTGCACTACAGCAGCAGCTGGATAAATAAGCAGAAGCCCCGAGTACTGTAGACAGGTTGTCTTTCTTGTATGTATTTCAGGGATTGTTTAATTTTTTAATAGCGTGGTTCTTGAAGCTATAGAAAGTCAACTGTCTTTGTATAAGATGAGCTATCTGCCAGTCCTTGAATGGTACCTGTCAGAATAGCCATTCATAGGGCTTCACCTGAAGTCTGATGGCTTGCAAGCCTGCCAACTTGTTAGAACACACATTACCGTGTTTATAGCAACAACTTCTGCATTATACAATTTCAGTCACTAGATGGCAGTGTTTATAAGTTCTGTAACACAGTATCTATGGTATATGCTCTTTTGTATTGAATAAGGTAGAGAATAAAGCTGCGGCTTCCTTCCTGTTTCCATGCCGTGTGCAGCATGCATATCAGACTATGTGCTTGTGTTTCTCTGAGAGGCTGTGCAAGAAGTTGCAACACAACTGCATGAGCTTGAAATCTGTCTCCCAGCCTTTTAGTATCAGCACAATGTGTATTGTTCGATACTTGACAGGCAGCAACTGCCTCTCATCAGATGTCCCATCAGGAAAAATCCTGAAACAACTAACTTTGTGATCTGGAAGACCTTTTTCCAGACATACAAATACATCCCAAAGATTTACGTTCCAGACGTCAGACATCACCGTCTACATCACCATACCCCAAAGGCACAGTGACTAACAAGCGAATAGTGGATGACTCTGCATAGAAACAGAAAGCACCCGAGGACTATGACTCATTGGCGGCTCTCCCTACATTTAACCATCCAGCATCAGAACACAATGCAATGCTCTCAAAACTAAGAAAAGAGATTCAATGGGATTTTAGAAGGAAAGAACTGATCATACAGAAAGAAAGATGGCCTCATATAAAAAAAAAAAGCCCACAATGAACTGGTAGACGCACACGAATCCGAGATAAACTCTCTGATCTAGATGACAAATCTAGATGAACTTATGTGACCACAAATGAGCCGATCCCGAAAAATCCTGAACATATTGCTTCCACTACAACAGTCCACTGATGTTGTTATTAGGGATGCACAGATACTTTTCGAGTACCAGTGCAGATACTTGGCATTTTCATGAGAACTACCAGGGTTGCAGCGGTTGCAGCTGGGACCTGGCTCTGGTGCTCCACCACTGTCCTGAAATCATTAGTCTGTATTGTTTTAGAAAAACTGTCACATGACAATAAACAAAAATGTATCTGTACTCGTACTTGTAAGTACTCGGCAAGTACCAGTACTCGTACTCTCAAAACTGGTATCTGTGCATCTCTTTATTTATATTTATAAAAACAAATTCGTACATTAAAACAGAGATGTACAAATCCCAGGAGCTCCGTGTGCTCCTTACAAATGACAGCTGCCTCCTAACCTTTGAATTTTTCTCTAGTGTAGTCTTGGAGCTCAAAAGTATCGGTACATGTACTTGTAATTGTACCGAGTACTGTACTTGGTATCTGTGCAACCCTAGTTGTCATAGACAGGGCTCATGCAATAGTTAAGACCAAAACACGGTCCAGATACGGTGCTTAGAGATGCTTGCAAGATTGCAAAAGAAAGAGCCATGACAGCCGCTAGCAAAGTGGGAACCCTTCCTGAGACATTCAGCCATCTTTATTTGTACACATGTATCTTCACAACCACAGCACAATGAAGGAACGATTCACCCAAATAATCAAAACTCTGCAGGACAAAAATCTGCAGAAATTAGATTTCCTGACCAAACTCATTATTACCCAGACTATACACAGGCCCGGATTTCCCAAAGGGCCACCGAGGCACGGCAGAGCGCAGAGGGGCGGCGGCGGTGACCTTGTGGGGAAGTTGTGGGCGCCAGCACAGTTGCTGAAGCTGATTGGTTGCCATGCACAGTTGCTCCACATTTTGTCTGCTCCAGTTTTGATAAATTCCCCCTCATAAGGTTTTCACCTTACTGCTATTGTCTGTTCAGTCATTTGATGCTGTTTATTTAAATACCATGTCGGCGGCCTTACATTGTGCCAAGTATTCAGCAGTCTGAGGTCAGGCGCGGAGACACACACAGCGTGCTGCCTGTGTCAACATTCGTCATGCTTTGTGTACATTTGCACAGTGTGTCCAGTAATTGCCCATATCAACAAACATAACAGGCTTAGTGAGTATGTCTCAAGTGGATTTATATTACTGCAAACACTGATGCCATGAATGAGGCCAGTTAATGTAAAACCAAGACACTGGTGGGGCCCCTTCACGCTTTTCTGTTGTGGTATGTTGCAATAAAGGGCGTCATTTGAATGAGATGTCAACACACTAGAACAGACCCACAAAAGTGCCTGGTGTTCCCATGCACATTGCATTGGGGGTATTCCCATCCATCCTGGAGTGGGAATGTTACCTGCCACCTTAAAGTGCTGGGTGTGCTGATCTGCCTTGCAGTGCCACCTTTGGGTGGGACCCCTCCTCCACCTGGTACATTCTCCATAATATAAAATACATTACAAAATCTAAGAGTGTGAAGGGATCCCATAGCAAATGCTACATGTGAGCCACTGACCTGGGAAACCAAGAGATGTGACCAGTGGAGTTGTCAAGACACGCAAGGAACTGTTATGTGTCTAACCTCTCCAGCATTTACCAAAAATTGAGGGTGGACTGACCCTTTAATTTGTTACCAGAGGAAACTTTGTAACTATTTCTCTATGTGGCAACCAAGGCAAGAGCGCATGTAATGTTTAGCATCCCTTTGTAGTACGATGACGGAGTGGCGTCATGGAAAGTCATCTCTTCACATATTACTTACCACCGGGTTGTCACTGCTGCTGTGTTGATATTCTTGCATCAGTCGGTCCCGGTAAGACTGGAGACTTTCTTCCTCCACCACCTGCTTGTTCCGTCTGCTTATTTTCACCCTCAGAATCCATTCCTGCAGTTCTTCCTGGCTGTGAGCCTTCTCACAACCCTCCCCGTAGATGCACTGTGATGGGCTATAGAGAGTACTTGAGTCAGGACCAACAATTACTCATATACATAGCATGTTATATGCACATTAGAAAGGTACAAAAACAGTTACTGTATCTGAAACAGTATGTCATTTTTTTTTATTTTGCCCATAGTTCCACTTTAAGTAATATGATCCATTGCAGCAGTAAGGTGCGTAAATACAAGTGTCATGTGTATTCTCAGTAGAATGTTGGTGTATTCTGTATAATTCTTCCCGATCTGTGCAGAAATCCAGTGTGAGATTTCCCCCCCCCTTCTTGTGGAGGGTGACTGGTCTTGTCTCCGCCCCCTCCTGTAATAAAGACCAGTCACTGCTGCTCTCCCTCCTTGTGCAGGGTGACTGGTCTTGTCTCCACCCCCTCCTGTAAGAAAGACCAGTCACTGCTGCTCTCCCTCCTTGTGCAGGGTGACTGGTCTTGTCTCCGCCCCCTCCTGTAAGAAAGACCAGTCACTGCTGCTCTCCCTCCTTGTGCAGGGTGACTGGTCTTGTCTCCGCCCCCTCCTGTAATAAAGACCAGTCATTGCTGCAATCTCTCCTTATGCAGGGTGACTGGTCTTGACTCCGCCCCTCCTGTAGTTTCCTACAGGCAGCCTGTAGTGGGTGGACCTGCTGGGTCCCATCCCACAGCTCTGTTCTCTGCATAGGCTATGTGCAGCACACTGATTATGTCACTGCTACTTTTTCAAGGTTATCACTTTGCAAGAGCATTTGGTGCACACAAGGTGGATTTATATCCTTTGTGGCTATTGAGGAATACAATTAAAGAAAAGTTTTTGTGCCCACAGTTCAGCCTTGAAGTGATTCTAAACCCATGGGATGGGGTGAATTAGTAGTTTGCAGAAGAAAACTTGGAAGTTTGTTATTTTAGTTTCTCGTGGCAAGCAACAAGGTCATTTTTTCTGGCAAGATTAATTGCAGTAAACGTGCTTAGCATGAAAAAAAAAAGAAAACAAATGCAGCCACCACATTTCAGGACTTGTACACTGCAATTGTTGACGCGCGTCTTAGATATATCTTTTAACGATGGATTAGCAGAAGCAAGCTGTGTAGTGCATGTAAAGGTCACAAAGAGCTAATAAAATGTGCCTGCTGTTTACATTAGAAATTCTGAATTCTAAGTGACAATGATCATTTTTATCAACAGAAAGGGCAAAATGAGTGATCTGTTAGAACACAAAAAAAAACTGTGAAATATATGGGTATGTATATTTATTTGTACTTAAGAGGTGAAGCTACACCCTAAAGAAATATCATACTGCAATTATAGGTCAGGTCCAGGCTTCTAAGAAAACTCTAACAGCGAGATCCCCATTTTAACATTCTGACTGTTCCTCATTAGGGATGAGCTCAAGTTCGGACCTGAGTACTTCTGAAAATGGAAGTGCTTTGGGTCACCGGCCCAGTCAGCTGCATGCTGGGGAATTCCCCCGCCACATGCAGCTGCATACAAAACAAAGGAATCAGAGGCTTGTGCTGACATCATTGACCTTATATGTCAATGGCGCCACTGTATCCTCCCCTTTGCTTACGTGCAGCTGTGGGTGGGGGATTTACAGGCTGTGGCTGAATGGCCGGCAGCGGGAAGAGATTCCTTCCATGTTCATTGGAGCTCCTTCCGTGCTCGGATAGGGTGCGGTCCAAACCTGAGCATATCCCTGTTCCTGGCCACCTGGGAGTTTTGGGAACCACCGCATACCTTTCTATGTTCCAGCTTCTCCTGTTAAATTCCCAATAATATAAAATAATAGAATATAGAATCCAACCAGTAGAGTGGGAGTGACCCAGAAGGTGGTTTCACCCATCTAGCAAACACTGATTTGTCAGTTTTGGATTCAAAAACCTCCAAAAGAATGTCATGTGTACCTACTTTTCACAGATGAAGCATCTTTTCATGCGATCCGGTGGGTCACGGTGATTCCACACTTGCAGTGAATCGGCTGCTAGAATGCGCCCATGTTCCAGTGAAGAGCAGTGTGCTTCGAAACTTTCTTGAGTGCTGGCGCTAACCAAGCAGAGGCGGCAGTAAAAACCTATGTTTTCTCCGGTATCGTCTTGTATTGCACTCCGGGTGAGGCCATATTTCTGCTCCACCTTCCACACCGCAAGCTCAACCTCACTGTGCGCATTGGGGCAGTGCCCGTTTTCCTCTCGACACAGGAAACCCCTGGAGCTGTGGGCACACATTCGAACATGAGGCGCATAAGGCATGGGTCGGATGGCATGGCATTGCTTTCTGGTGCTGTCGGTAATGATGTGAGCAAGAAGGGGCACCGGGCGTGGGTGGGATTGGCATAAGTCAGTAAGAGAGACCTTCCGAGGGCTTTGATGGAAACACTGTTCACAGACATGCTGAAAGCGTCCTCCGAACATGCTTAAGATGTCTTCCCAGCTTCCAGGCTCCCTGGTACTAGCACCTGGAGATGGCTTGTTTAGTAGAAGATATTGCAGATGGCTCCTCTCAAGATTAAGGTTCCTCTCAAAAGACCAGACATGAACTTCTTCGTTAGTCCAGGCAAAAGTGCAATTTTCGTAGTGTAGTATGCAACCTACGGTGGGTCGGTAATGCCAGCAGACGGTATAACGTGCTGGCACCCGGAAAGCAGGGCGTTGCCTCACCACATGCCATTCATTGACCCCTTTAGCATCCTTTGATCTTGAGAGAAGCAGGTTGGCATCACAGCTGTGCGGGACGGAGTTTAAGGTGTAGGTGATCATAGACAGCTTCTTGCTGCACTTGGTGCATGCCAGACGGAGCTCCGCGTTTGCCAGAAGAGGGGCCACATCTGGTGGCACCAGTGGTGCAAACTGTCCCATGGCTGACCCTTCAACAACAGCATAAATGAACAATCAGAAAATTAGAGCTGATTATCATGACATATACTAAACTATACAACATTTAATATATGATTATAAGACTTCTAACTTCACAGCAACTACTGTTGTGCATTAGAAGGCTGGAAAATCCAACCAACCAAACCAAACAACCAACCAACACCAAGGTCTAAAGAGTTGTACTCTTTTCTCCCAATGGACATTAAATGGCCCTGTTCATGCTTTAAAAACAAGCCAACAAGCATATCTTTCTTTGATTTTTCAACCAGTTAAATTGTTTGTTGACGTTAGGGTTACTGGGCATACTGGCAGATACAAAGGTTGAGGTAGTAAATGCTGAACTCCAGGCAGATATAAAGGACACAATGCAGCTCTGTAATACAGGGGTAGGCAACCTCGGCACTACAAGACCCGCGAGGCATTGCAAGACTCTGACATACATAGGCATGACTCTCAGAGGCATAGGCATGATAGGGTTTGTAGTTTCAGGACTCCTGGAGTGACAAGGTTACCTACCCCTCCTGTAATATATTTATATATAACAGCAGGGGTTAGTGTAAGTACCTGATTCTCAATCTCACCTGATACCGGTAGTCCCTGAACAGCAGAGCTCGGACTAGGGGAAGAAGCAACTCAAGGAGCCAGTCAGGTGTGCTACAGTGTTCATGGTCTAACAACGAGCGGACCGATAGCAGAAGAAAGCAATGATACAGACAGATGAGCTCATCAGTCTGCTGATTCTCCTTTCACCGTCCAATCACAGGCTGGGGGGTGGGACAAGACCTATACATTTTGCTTAACTGTAGCATAGAAAAAAAACAGGGCTGTGCTGTAGGGCTAAATAAATCTTAGGACTGGGTGGACAAAAATACAAATTCTTTGCCAGGTAAAACAGCTTCCATCTGTGCTTTCTGTATCTGTGTATTTGGTCATTTGCCTGGAGTTGGACTTTAGGTTTCCTGGTAAAGCACAGTGGCTTAGTGGTTAGTACTCCTGCACTGCAGCACTGGGGGTCCTCAGATTGAATCCCTACCAGGACACTATTTGCATGGAGTTTGCATGTTCTCCCAGCGCTTGTGTGGGTTTCCCTGGTTTCTTTCCTCATTTCAAAAACATACTGGTAGATTAGCTAGCTCATGTCTAAACTGGTCCTAGTATGAGTGCGTATGCATGCGAGGTAGGGCTCGTAAGCGCCTTGAGGGCAAAGATCGATACGAATGTACAATACGTAAAATGTTGGTGCTATACAAATACCTGTCATAGATAAAAGTAATTAAAAAAATGGCCTCATCTAATAAAAAAATGTGTGGCTTCTACAAACTTAAAGGAGCAGATCTTATGTAGGTAACGTGTCAGTCTGCACATCCCTCGATAGATATTTGATTTAAACTGTTGTGTATTTAATATGAGCTTTTAATTCACGTGTACTGCTCTTTTAAGGCCACTGTAAAAAAAAGAAAAACAAAAAGGGGATGTTTATGAAGACTGGCTGCCAAGCCCGGGGCTGTCCCTGGCAGAAGGAGACAGATAGATTACTGTATTGTGTCTGCAAAGAGTACTGAAGAATCTAAAAAAAACATATTTAAAGGATCACAATGAATTCTTACCAAGAAGACAGGATGCATTCGTCGCCTGGTCAAGGTAGCAACCAAGATACCTCTGTGCCTCGTCTATGTGTGTGCTTTCTGACTGGCTTTCTCATCATCTGAGTTTCACCCATACAGTTTCGATTCTCTCAGTAGCTTTCCAGGCTGTTTACAGATGTGACATCATACAGCCCTTCCCTCTCTCACTGCCTGTTGTCAGCCAGCCCCATGATGCTCATTGACAGCAGAGGACGGATAGGGTGAGGGATAGACGGGTAGGATGCATGGTGGAGCCGAGGGCAGGACAAGGCCTGATCTGAACAGGAGCACTTTAAACGCTAAGCAGCTTGAGATTAACCCCTTTGTTGATAAAAAAAAAAAAAAAGGCTCAGAGATGACACAATGAAACCAACGTAGCGGAACTAAAACTGACATGTGACTGCTTCCTGAAACAGGGGTGGACGAATTAATACGGAAATCAGGAACCATCTGTCCCATCCAGGAGCCAACTTCCTTGACAGCAACTAGAGAAAACCTCAAAAGTTAGGCACCAGTTGTAAATTTAGGGAGCATCTACGGTAGGGGTAAAGCTGCAAATTTTATGGAACATTGGCTACCTAGTTCCTGGGATTTGCCAAGCCCTGTCCTATGTTAGTTGTCATCCGTAAATGTTTAAGAGCATTGGCTACCCCGCTGCTGGGATCTGTCCGGCCCTGTCCTAGGTTAGGTGTCAGCTGTAAATTTTTATCAACATTAGCTCTATGGCTCCTGGGATCTGTCCATCCCTCTCCTAGGTTAGGTGCCAGCTGTAAATGTTAATGAACATTAGCTCTATGGCTCCTGGGATCTGTCCATCCCTCTCCTAGGTTAGGTGCCAGCTGTAAATTTTAGGGAGCATTAGCTCTATGGCTCCTGGGATCTGTCCATCCCTCTCCTAGGTTAGGTGCCAGCTGTAAATTTTAGGGAGCATTAGCTCTATGGCTCCTGGGATCTGTCCATCCCTCTCCTAGGTTAAGTGTCAGCTGTACGTTTAAAGAGCATTGGCTACCTGGCTGCTGGGATCTGTCCAGCCCTGTCCTAGGATAGGTGCCAGCTGTAAATTTTAGGGGGCATCTGTAACCTGGCTCCTGCAATATGTCCAGCCATGTCTTATGTAAATTTGAAGGAGCATTGGCTACCTGGCTGCTGGGATCTGTCCAGGATTGTCCTAGGATAGGTGCCAGCTGTACATTTTAGGGGGCATCTGTAACCTGGCTCCTGGAATATGTCCAGCCATGGAATATGCCCAGCCATGGAATATGTCCAACCATGTCTTATGTAAATTTGAAGGAGCATTGGCTACCTGGCTGCCTGGGATCTGTCCAGCCCTGTACTAGGTTAGGTGCAAGTTGTACATTAAGGAGCATTGGCTATATGGCTCCTGGGATGTGCCCAGCTCCGTCTTAAAAGAAAGCTCAAGTTAGAAATGTTCAATAAATGGTAATAAATCCCTAATCACACATACCGATATTGTTTGCTGCAGTTTTCTCCTTTACATGCTTCCTATCGGCGTATCTGCAGGGTATGCCTTGGTCTGTATGCCGTTGGTGATAACGGTCACGGTTGCCAGTTTGCTTTTGTCAGTTCCCAGCCTGACCTGTCAAGCCCCCAAATGGCTGGTGTTGTAGCTGGAACTGCAGAGCTAAACACGGGCCCTCAGCAGGCTGCACATTTTATAGCCGTGCAATTAACTAAATTCAGACATTCAGGCCTCACATCAATTGTCTGAGCATCAGGACCCGCAGCAACACTTGCCTGGCGTGAGAGCATGAGCTGGACCTATGTCCTCCAGAGCCTATCCCAAGGAGATTTTCCAACAGGCTGGAAAATGTATCTGTACAGTGCGCCTCCATCATGCTGGGAAATAGCTTATTGGCATGTCTATAACCAGTTTAAAGCGCAACAGAAGCTTTTCTTTCAGTTTTGGATGTAGTGAAGAGGGATTAGAACATCTGTCAGATTTTTTACTACTGTCTCTGTTAGGGAGATCCACCCTCCAAACCATACTAACACCCTCCAGCTGTTGTGGAACTACAAGACCCATGAGGCATTGCACGACTGACAGGTACAGCCATGACTCCCAGGGGCATGCTGGGATTTGTAAAGCACAGCTGGAAGGCTGAAGTTGCCCACCCCTACTGTAAGTGGATTCACACCAAAGCCCTAAGAATCTCATCATGCCTCTGGGAGTCATTCTTCTGGGTGTCAGTCTTGCAATGCCTCTGGGAGTCATTCTTCTGGGTGTCAGTCTTGCAATGCCTCATGGGACTTGTAGTACCACAACATCTGGAGTGCCAAGGTTGCCTACCCCTGATATAAATGATGGGATGGCACATGTGGTGGGTTTATATGTGTCCTTTAATATTCACCTTTTTTGGAAAGATACCTTTACAAAGACTGCCAAGAAACCCGGACCATTCGCTCAGAGCAGCCAGTTGATTTTTTCCAATGAAAGGAGATGTACGATTATTTATCCTGGGCAACTGCATCAGTTTTCCTGGTGCTTTCTTTGCACCAGTCTTCCAGGGCTGGTGTACATGGCCTGTGCATTTCTTGGTGTGGTTTGTGTATTTCATCAAGTGATTCAGTGTGAAACCTTATCACTGTGAAGGAGCTTCCTGTAACAAAGGCCAAACACTGCTGCTCTCTCTCTTTCTCTTTGTGCAGGGTGACTGGTCTCGTCGTCGCCCCCTCCTGTATAAGGACCAGTCACTGCAGCTCTCTCTCCTTGTGCAGGGTGACTGGTCTCGTCGTCGCCCCCTCCTGTATAAGGACCAGTCACTGCAGCTCTCTCTCCTTGTTCAGGGTGACTGGTCTTGTCTCCACCCCCTCCTGTAATATAGACCACACATTTCCACACATTATTGCTCTATCTCCTTGTCCAGGGTGATTGGTCTTGTCTCCACCCCCTCCTGTAATACAGACCGG